ATGACATGTACAAGGAGCTTCGCAAAAAAGGACCTGGCAGGTTGCCAATTGCTCTCAAAGCTTTTCTGTCCAAACCTCCTTGTCAGGGTTCATCCCTGTCTAACTGCTGAGCCAACACAGCCTACCCTTAACTAGACATGTATTTAACAGATGTTCATCCACCTTTCTGAGGCAGAATGTGAATCTCAGCATGCTGATTTGAAGATAAAGCCAACGTATACAGAATCAGTACAGTTCAAATTAACTATCTCAAATTTTGAAACTTCAGTCTAGATCCCCCAGCTTCAATGTCATCATTCAAAAAACCTCTGTATGGTTGCTATCATAGAAAGTACAGAACGCTGCAGCAAGCACTGACCTCAGAGTGGTAGTCAGCAAGGACCCATGGAAACACAGGATACTGCATGTAATCATTGTAGCTGCGGCCAGCCAATGTGTTCAGGTACATGAGGTAATCGAAGTTGCTGATCTCCCTTTTCTGCCAAGGGAAGGAAAAAAACATTTAAATCTCCTAATTCCACCCCTGAAAATCATGCCTCAAAGGCACCCTCAGACCCCTGTGGTTCCCATGTCCACCAGGACAAGAATTACAAATAGTGTAATCGATCACCCATTGCCATTCAGATCAGCACAATATCTCTTATACAACAATCCATTCAACAGAATCTGAGTCTTCATTCTGACTCTTCTTCAGACAGGCCATTTGCATTTGTCTATAATCACCCAGTTCTTTTACGCTGTATTTGCATAACAAAACACTTTTCCCAATTTAAAGGTGAGCCAAATGCATGCAGTCACAGTACAGTGGAAAACCAAGGAAAATTCCCTGTACAGAAAAGGCTGCACAACATGCTACATATAAACAAGAAGGTATAGATTTCTTCATTGTGTCTTGGGTCACCAAGATCAGGGGTACAGGAAAGCAAATGCACCTCTCAGCTCAGCAAAACATCTGCGAAAACGAGAGGTGCACTGATTTAGATGTTCAGATGATCTGCGAACAGTCATTCAACTAGGTTGCTCTCTTTGTTCTCAGTTTAAAAACATGCATAACATTACACTTAATCTGCCAGACAGTAGCACTGTGTAATTCCCAGCAGGAGGAGCAAAACCTCTGCAACAACCAGATGTAAATGTTTTGCTCCTCTTGCCAATAACCCCATCTCTAGAAGTGAGAGAACAGCTTCAGCCTCAAAGTACATACGTACACACATACATCTGTGTACGGACACACAGAAAGGTGCTGAAATTCTTCACTTAACCATGTGCAGCCAAGATTTAGCTTACCTGCCACTTCTGGAGCATTGTCTTCTCCCCTCCTGAGTGTTTCCTGTATGGAACAAACATTAGATTGAAATAGCCTGCTTCAGAACAATAAGAGACAGTAAATACATCTGTGCTCCCTGTGCCCCTCGCTCTCATCTCACAGAAATGAGGGAATACCAAGGCTAGAAGAATGTTGAGGTTTTATCATTGACCAAATAATTCCAGAATCAGAGTGTCATTGGTTAGGTTAGTGCTGCACAATACAAATTTCATTACTGCTTTCATTAGGAAAGAAGG